TAGGTAACCCAATGTTTATTCTTATTGCCGATTTTACTATTTATGGAATGACTAGGAAATATCACATGACAAAACAAATTTTATTGCATTTTTGATTGGAAATTTTTTCCCAAAATTCGTCGCCGTGGCGCAGTAAGTTGCGGGATGCAAATAATTTTCAGGGTGGGAGTATTAATGAACAGAAACATTATTTCAATAATGGTTATCAAAAGCAAATGCACCAATCATTTGTTAAAGAATCACCAAAATTTAGATTCCAAGTAACACAAATTCGTGTAATTCTTTATCTCATTCAACACTTTAAGGATAATTCATTTTAAATTTCATAGGAAATTAATTCATGTAAATTCAAAAATTCAAATAAAAATTCTTATATATAATATTTAAAAAACAGCTACAATTCTTTCCTATTAATCATTATTAATATAAAAAATGATGAAAATCATGGTCCTTGCATAATTATTAATTGCAAAAATACTGAGGTTAAATTTAAGACTATGACAGGTCTTGCACTTAATAAATCACAACAAAGCCCAGATTGTGGAAGCATGAATTATTTTTTTTAAAAAAAAATCAAATTTGTCATATTCATTATATGAAATATGTAGAGTTTAACAAGTACAATAAAAAATTAAGAAGTGATAAAATCTATGAAGAAATTTCCAAAAATAATGATAATATAAAAATAAATGTTACTGAAAATGGTGTTCTTCTATCAAAGGAAGACTTTGGCTCATTAATTGAAAAAATTGAAAATTTAGAATCAACAATCGAAAAAAAAACCAATCAAATTGAAGAAATTGAGAACTTAATTGATGTTAGTAATGTTTATTTAACAGTTCAACAACAATCAGAAAAAAGTGGGTATAGTAATTATGTTATTTTTTATTATGTTACTTGTATTGATTGTATTTTCTATTTATAGGTACATTATCATTTGCTGATAAAATAGAATTATTAACAAACATTCTTTATGAACAACAAAGAAAATTCAAAAATGACATTGTGTTGGATCCTGCAGATTTTTGTAGATTAGTTGAGGAAAAGGAACCAAAATTAATAGGATTTTTTGATGAACTAATAAATATCATTCAAAAAAATCATTCTCATTTAAATAAGGAATCAACAAAAAAGGCTATTGTAGGTTATTGCTACCTTTTAGCCAGTATAAGAAATAAATTTGTGAATAATTTTAAACTGGATCTTGGACTCTATCTAGAAGCAAATGGAACAAATGCTGCAGCACTTGACACTTTGTCAAACACGGGTATCTCAGCTTGTTATAAAACAATACAAAGTTATAAAAAAAAAATTGCTGAAAATCATCAAAAAATGATAGAGGAATATTTTTTAAAAAATTTACAATACATGCATTGTTTTAATATTGATGATTACCATTCAATCCATGAGTGGAGAAGACCTGATTCAACATCATTATCTTCAGCAACACATATGGCAACATGTGTTGCTAAAAAAATTGAGAATGCTCTTGCAGTTCCTGCTAAATTTAATAATATACCTATTATTAATCCTAAAAATATTGATGATTCATTAATTAACACTAAACTAATTAATGAATATAAGGGAATTTTTGATATAAGTTACAATGATATAAAATCACAGTGGATTAATAATAAAATTCTTGATGATAAACTTTTTGATCGTGTTGAACTTTTAAAAGTTCATATATATGATGCAGATATTGAAGGAAAAAAAGATCACCATTCATCGAAGCATTTTCAAAAAATAAAAAATATCCATATACTCCAGCAGCTTTAGATTATCTCACTAAAAAAACTAGTTGTTTTTTAATTGATTATTTTTCCAATGTCTATAAAAATTTAAACGCTAGTCAACCATACTATAAGAAACAAAAATTAGAAAAATATAAATTAGCTACTTTAGATAAAATAGTAGATTTAAAATCACTTCCTGCTGGTTATCATACAGCCCATCCCCCAAAAAATAATTCGTGTGATCATTGTAATGAAACATTTGATGATGGGTGTGTATTGATTTGTGGCCATAGTTATCATTACAATTGTTATGAATATTTAGAAAAGAAATGTGGTCACTGTTTGGAGTTCTATAAAAAAGGTGTTTCTTTAAATGTCAAAAGCTTCATAAATCGATTAGAAAAAGGGTCGGAAGACATAGAATTGGATGATTTGGAAAGTAGTGGAGATAGTGATGAAATTGATGAGGAGGATGATGAATCTAATACAATTAAAATAAATCAAGAATATATAAATAGATTATTTTTAAATGCTAAAAATGACATAAAGAATTGGTAAATTCTATATAACATAATTAATGAAAATAAATAAAATTATTAGTCTTAATTCCAAAATTCTACATATTATTTATTAATATGCATGTAATTTAAATGAAAATACATTTATATTAAACCTTCATTAATATTTGTGTTATCGAGATTAAATTTCAAATGAATAACTTTCTCAATATGTTGTATCTAATGATATAGTTTCCTTTAATATCCTAATAGAAAAATTGTTTTGTTAAAAATAAAGTAAATTAGCTAAAAAACAGCATAGCGGACATTTGCATATTTGGTAATGATTTGCGTCAATCACATTTTGATTTTATCACATAAAAAAGCATTTTGATTGGTTTGAATATCATTACTAAATTAACAATTACACAAAATCATTAATTGCGCACAATCATTTTTTGACATTAATTAATAATAAAAAAAGTTGTTTTTAGCCGTTAAAATATTTTATACATAAAAAAATGTGATGTGATAGATACAGAGATAAAGACACATTATAAAAAAAATAATAAGGGAATTAGAATTGTGCAAAAATATGGGTTTACAATTTTTTTTTGCAAAAATCCCTTTCATAGCGAATAGATTGTGTGAATTTAACATCTCTATTTTTTGTAAATAAATAAAATTCAATGTCATTATAATAGTAACAGTAGTGTAATTTTATGGAAATGATATTTCGATTCTTATTATTCAAATATCCATAATACTTTCGAATATAAATATCAAATATTGTAATACCCCCAAATATCATAACACTTTCAAATATTGTAACACTTTCGAATATCATAATAATAATAATAATAATAATAATAATAATATATAATACTTTTGAATATCGTAACACTTTCGAATATCATAACACTTTTGAATATTGTAACACTTTTGAATATCGTAACACTTCCGAATATTAATATCGTAACACTTTCAAATATCGTAACACTTTCAAATTAATATTAACACTTTCAGATATTATAATATTGTAATTATAATATTAATATATATACTTTATTTTTTTATTAATGTAACAACATTTCATGTAATTAAATGTATAAATTTGTTTTCATAAATCATTACATATTATAACGTAAATTATTACACAGAGATTTGATATTTGAAAGTGTTACGATATTCAATAGTGTTACAATATTGAATATATAAAAAAAAATTATTTGACACCAATTTCAAAGTAGGGTATCAATGATGGAATTGCTTATAATTAAACAAAATGTATAAAAGAACTCTGAATTACATGTAAAAATAAATTAGTTTTAACAAATAAAACTATTATAATAGTCCTTATAAACCCAAAATTGTGATAATTCCAATTTCTAAATTTTTAAATCAACTGATTTTGATAATTACCTATTTCTCTTGTGCAAAATAAAAATAATTATTTTAAAAAAAATGGAAATTCCAAAAAGTAGGAAACAAAACAATGGACCATGTGTTATTTGTGGAGTAAGAGATTCTGAGATAAAATATCGAAAATTTACAGAAGATGCTAAAGAAAAAGCTTTAAGGAACAATAATTTAGATCTAACCTGGAAGTTAAATATTACTCAGTTTTGTCAAGTACATTATATGAGCCATATCATGAATGAGTACAAAAAAAATGATGGTGATATAGAGGATGTAGACATGATGACTGATGATATAGAAGATGTAGATGTGATTAGTGAACATACATTTAAGGATAAATTGAATGATGGTGAAAAAATCTATGAAATTGATTTCATTAATAGTGTTAAATCAATGGTAAAAATATTTCTTAAGAGAGAAAAAAAAGAAGATAAACCACCAATCTATGATTGGACATTGCTTCGTGAAAGCTTGGAATCTGAAGATGATAAACTCATACCTTTTTTAAATATGCTTGAGAAGTTAATTAATCCAAATGATAGGAATCTTGCAGAACAAACAATCACACAGCGGCAGAAAGGCCTGTCTTTTTTATGTTATTTTCTTGCAGGAATTGGAAATAAACAAATTAGTGCCATAAGAAAGGATATAGCAATGTTTTTAGATCAGTCTGGTACTACAAACCAAGCCATTGACACCTTTTCTAGTATTCAATTAAGTTCATCATCAAGAGAAAATAGACGTGAAAAGAATGCTATAGCCTTGATTCATAAAGAAAATGTTGCTAAAGAGCTCTCAAATTATCAGGACAATGCAATTAATGTAAATGTTGATGATTACCACAATATTCATGGATTACGAATGCCTACAACCACATCTACTAGTGATGTTTATCATATGACAACCATCCTTGCTATTCCAATACCTGAAGCAAGAGCTGTTCCAAATGATGCTATACATAACCCATTACTCATTGATTGTGACTCTTTAATTTTCCAAATAGAAAATCGTTACATGTCTTTACTTTCCCAATCATATAACAATAGGTTTGCAAATCAACTTACTCTTTCTGAAGATGACTTATTTGATAGTCTTGTTTCTTATTGTTATGATGCTGAGATTCATGAAAAAAAGGAGGAGCGGCAGCTTAAAAACACTTTACTAATAGATTTTATCCATCTAGAATTGAAATCTGCTCAATCATATATTGAAGCCATGAAGGTATTTGAACCTTTTCAAGAATTTCATAATTATCTCCAAAAAAATGTTATTCCATTAATTGCTGACTGGCCAGGCCAAATCCATACTCGAAGAGCAATTGTCATGCAACAGCATCCATCACAAAAGGATATCATCCCAGAATTTGTTAGGTCTTTCATTCCAATAATGGGACCATTACATGTATCACTCAACAGTCGTGAGACTGTTGTTTTGCTATTTCATGGCTTTTTTAATTCTGCTTATAAATATATTTTTGGATCACGCAAAAAGCTTGCTGAAAACCCTCGCCCTTGGAGAATTAATCAATTGTTGCAGATAATGTCAGATGCCTGGAGAAAGGTTGCACCATATGTTATTGAGAAAATTGAACCAATTTGTTTAAGAGATGTTGAATATCTTACACTGAAAGCCCTTTTAGATGATGCAATTCCTCTAGTTTTGGATATTTATTCAGCAATTTTCAGGTCAGGAAATTTGGATAACTATATTGAAGCTTGCGTGAGAGTATGGTGTTTATTTGCTAAGTTTAAAAGAAAAAATTATAACAAAGCACCATTATTATTTCTTTCTGATGTATGGTATTGGGAAAGCATCAAACATCCTATTATTGATACTCTTAAAATGCATCTTGTGACTTTTAATGATTATCCAGTTGAAAATTATCATTCATTAATTCGAAGACAAACTAAAAAAGCAGATAATAATGAACAACTTACAAAAGCAGCTCATATTATTGACCATCTTCGCCATGATAATATATTTCGAAGTTCATTTGTTGCCAAAAAAAAGTATCCTTATTGCAAAAAAGATTTAATAGGATTAACAGACAAGGCATCTTGTTTTCTCCTTGAACTATTCACTAAAGTCAAAAACAATGTAGGAAAAAGTGAATGGCAAGATGTTAAACAAAATTTTAAAACAAAGAAAACAAAAACAAATAAAACAAATAAAATAAATTATCAACTTCCATGTCATCTTGCAACCCTTGATATAATTGTTGATCAACGTCATTTACCAATGGCATTTAGTACAGATTATCCACCAATTGACCAATCAATAGAGTGTCATCTTAAGGATACTTGTATGAAGCCTCAATTAAATTCTAGTGATCAAAATTTTCAGCAGTTCATAAAGCTGACACTTCTTCCATGTGGTCATATTTATCATGAATATTGTTTACAACATCATGAATACAAGTGTCTATATTGTTTAAAATACATAAAAAATCAGATTAATATCAATGTAGAATCTATTATTAATAGACTTACAAGCGAAAAAGATCTTCCAATAGAAGATGATCCTGAAGATGAAATTCAACCATTAGAAATTGATGAACCTGAGGAATTACAAATGGAATTTAATCTTCAAGCTGAGATTGAGTTTAATACAGCACTTCAAGAGTTCCTAAGGGATTAGATTTCATATAATAAATTTTTTTTTCTTTAATTAATTTATGTATTATTGTTACATGTATAAATTTAGAAATTCTTTAGAATAATTAACTACCTTTTGAAATCCTTTTATGTAATTAATATAACATCTATGTATAATAATAATAAAAATTGTATTTGGTGTATATATACTATGTCTTGTAACTAACCAAATAAATAAGAAAAATATTAATATATATATATATGTGTGTGTGCATGTATAAATTTAGAGTTTTTAGAACAACTACCTTTTGAAATCCTTTCATGTAATTAATAAATCATATAACATCTATGTACAATAATAAAAAAACTGTAGTCAGTGTATATATATTATATGTCTTGTAATTAAATCAAATATATATATGTGTGTATGTATGTATGTATGTATGTATAAATTTAAAGGTTTTTTAGAACAACTAACTTTTGAAATCCTTTCATGTAATTAATAAATTATATAACATCTGTGTACAGTAATAAAAAAATTGTATTCAGTGTATATGTCTTGTAATTAAATCAAAAGAATAAAAAAAAAAATAAAAAAAACGATAATATATATATCTTTTTGCATGCATAAATTTAAACAACTAACTACCTTTCATGTAATCAACAAATCACATAATGTCTACAGTTCACTCTTTCTATAATGAACACTAAATAGAATCTCTATAATAATAATGAACTCTCCTTTTGTCCTTGATCCATTTTTTTGTAATTAACTTCTCTCTCTATAACAAACAAAGGCATTTGAATGTTTTGTAATTGTATATTTTTATTTTTTTTCAAAATAAAAAAATAAAATTTTTGCACACTTTGATAAATTTATATATAAAATTTGAAATCTTTGGTTCATAACAAGATCTTGCAGTTTGCAGGATTAATGGGATCATTTTTAACCAAAATAAAGTTTCCAATGAAAGGTATATTATTGCAAAATGTTTTTTTGGTTTTACAATTATTTTTGGTCATGTTATTATGACCAGGTTTTTTCTATTTTAAATAATTGAATTCAAACAGTCACACATTATAAAAAAGATTGCCAATCGATTTTGTCACATGTGACAAATTTAAGTGTCTGCATGCTTGCATGTCCATGAGAATTTGGCCACTAAATTATTACTAAATTAGACAAAATTATTGCTAAATTTAGACTAGCTCACAACTACCATATCTAAATTTGGCAGTAACAGTCAGTGTGCAAATCTTAAAAATTATTTTATACCCTTGCTTTGTATCAATTGTCACCAAAATTTCCACGTTGTTCATTTTTCATGTTCTTTATTTTGTAAAAAATTTTCAAGTAAGGTTAATAAAAGAGCAGAAAAGAATCAAGGTCTCAAAGTTTTTTTTGTCTTTGTGTGACAATAGAAATTTCACATCTTGCAAGTAAACTTGTAAAACTAGTGAAGTATTCAAATATTTTAAACATTACGATTATATTTAAAGAAATTTTAAATAATGAATAGTTTGACTTTTTATTTTTATTTTTATTACATTTTTATTATATTTCTTTGTTATATTAATTACACAGGAAGGATGTCATTAATAGATACTGGTTATGTATTTATAATCGATTATTATATATACTCATTATTTGTGTTAATTATATATTATATTATTAATTTGATTCTTTTATTATAGATATAAATAATTAAATAGAATCGGGATAGAGATACTTGTAATTTATAATTCAATTAATATTCATATTAAAACTTTTGACTTTTTTGTTAAATCATTATTCTTAAATCTTTTGAAATTTCAGAATTAACTTTTTTTATTATGATAATATATTGAAGATAGAATTGATATGGCGATGACATAAATTATGATGATGCTTACCAACCAACCTTTAGACACACTATCCAAATAATACTGATCAAGAATATAGATGCTAGTCACAACTTTTTGATGGTGGTCGTAATAACCTTTGTGATCATTTTGCTTTCTTCTTTGGATTGTAATATGGACATATTTGTCAATAAATCATCATAAAAAAGATCAAGATGTGTAACTACATTAGAAGCTAAAACTACATTACATCTGTTATCCAAGAATAAATTTCTGAAGAATAAACATTAAACTATCTTACCTACTTTAAATATGAAAGCAGATCTAAGTGACATTGCTCATATTTTTGAAAATTCCGTCAAGTGAGTCATCTTTATGGTACTAATGAAGTCTAAAGAACAAGGTTCGCTTTGGTTTATTGACTATTGTAATCAGCATAAAGCTGCCTTGTTGAAAAGAATCAACGTTTTTAGTGTAAATTTTCATGTGTATTTTAACCCATTATTAACCCATTATTAACCCATTATTGTGAGTTCGAAAAGCAGCTTTATTTTAAATAAAAGGTACCAAAATATTTATTGAAACTTCAAGAAAATTTTTTATATATATCGTTTTTTTAATCTATTAGAAGTTTGTGTTATAAATGTTAAAAGAAATTATTGGCATTCAAGCGAATGTTACACGCACTAATTAAAAAAAGAGAAAGGATTTGCACACTGACAGGTAAGAAATAATTTTAAAAATAAAATCATGTGAAGTCCTATTTTTTAAAATTTTTTATTTCCTTTTTTTTTAAGGGTAATATTATATACAGAAAGGTTCTTTTATGAAATATACAGAACCTATGTGACAAATAAGGATTAATTCTTAGAGTTGGTAAACACTGTGTAATTCCTGCCACCCCCAGCCCACAAATTTAATCAGCACGTCTGTGATAAATGTCACATTGGTTTTACAAAAATTTTGAGCTACAATTTAGTTTCCTTTTTTATAGAATGAATTGCTATTTTTGGTAGGGTTCTGTATATTCCATAAAAAGAACCTTTCTGTATATAATATTTTCCTTTTTTTAATTGTTTAGTGATCAGCAACCAAAAAAATTCATCCATATATCATAGTGGAAATTTGTGTTACCTACACTCTACCCTCAAATACTTTGAAATGATGATTTAATGAATTATGAGTATGTAATTTAAAACATGATTCTAAACCACCAGCAACTATACTTGGCTTTCCATAACAAACTTTTCCAATACATGAACATAAAAGTGCCATTGAACACAATAATAAATATTGTAATCATTTTAGTCATTATATTATTGTTTATTGTTGTATGCAATTACTTACATTTATACAAGGTTCATGGGTAACAAATAAGTCATACCTTTACATAAATATGCTACTACATCATTTGACAATTTCCCTGGCTTTCATCATTATCACCATCATCATTAATTTTTTCATTCACTAATCTTTTTTCTGACTTCTTCTCTTCAACATTATAAACACCATCATCAACATCAACAACATCAACATCAAAATCAGTAATCTGTATTATTGGTTGCTGATCACCACCATCAATTTTTCTTTTTAATGAGTTTTGGTGCCCATAATCATGCTGAGTTGTAAATGTATTACAACTTTCTACAGATGTAACAACATCTAAACATTTAATAATTGCATGTTTAAGTGGATGTCTTGTAGTTGCTCTTGAATCATAACATTCTGCTAATATTCTTAAACCTTTTGGATCTACTATTACACAACCAATTGGAATCTTTAAAATTAGGGAAATGATTAATTGATTGATTGGAGTTATGTATGCACACAAAGATACTGTAATATCAATGTATTCAAATATCAACACACCTCTTGATTTGATTTGGCTATTTTAGCTAGTTCAATAGCTCTTTGCATATATCCTTTTAGCTATTTTATATCTTTATTTTCTACTATATTTGTTATTATGAACATAAATAGGTTAAGTTTATAAATTTTTGTAATATACATCATAATTATAAAATAAATAACAAAAATCTCCTTCACTCCTTCTTGCTTCCCTTTCCCTCTTTCATATATACTCACTTTTTATCATTCTCATGGTAATTGATTGGCCATAATTGTCTTCACTTATAAATTAATATTGAATCAAAATTATGTTTCTTGATCAATAACAATAAATCATCAATTGATGGTGTGTCTTTAACTAAACATATCAATGCTGCTAATATATATTTATTATGATCTCCATCTTTATATTAATAGAAAGATTATAACTAGGGTTTATCTCTTATTTCAATGTTAGTGATTATGTATGGTAAGTAGGTACCTTATTTACTCTTGTCATATAATGTTCTTTTTATGTGTTTAATGTGATTTAAATTTCATTTGGACAATTTTTTTTTATAAATCTAATCAATCAATCAATTAATTAATCAAATAAATAAATTTAATTTATTGGATATTTAAAAACATAAAAAATACTTTATAACATGTATTGAAAATCAAATTTTTCATTTATTATCTCCTTATATATTTATCCCATTTACACCTTACCATTGCGAGTCCTTCTAGCATGAACACCTTCACGTAACAGATCTAAAACTTGAACTGTAGTTTCCCAACCAATGCATGCATCTGTTATTGATTGACCATAAGTAAGATTTGCACCTCCATCTGGTGGAAGATCTTGACGTCCTATATAATTGTTATTATTATTATTGGATTATTATAATCATAACCATAACACAAATAAAAATAAAAATATTTAATGCTACCTTCTACCAAATTACTTTCAATCATTACACCCATTATATTGAATCCTGTAGGCGAAGTTTTAAGTTGTTCAACCTACAAAAATTAATCAAATAGATTAATTAATTCACAATCACAAGAGAATATTCATTCATCATTCAATACTCACAATATCTTTAACCACATCGACTTGTTTACTAAAAACCTTTTGACTATTACCATGACTACAATCAATCATTATACGTGCAGTGAGCTTTGCAGCTTCTAATTTTGATACAGCATTTTTTACATTTTCTGCTGAATAATTAGGTTCATGTGTACCACCTCTTAAAATTATATGACAAGAATCATTTCCCTAATTTATTTATATTTTTGTATGTTGGTATTTAGTGAATAATTTATATTTTATCAATTTCTTTATTTTTATTGTATAACTTACTTCTGTTTCCACTATTGCACTTAATCCCTGCTTTGTAACCGATAAGAAGTTATGTTTAGCACTAGCAGCTTTGATTGCATCAACAGCTACATCAATACTTCCATTAGTACCTATATATTGTCAAAAGAATTAATACTACATATGCATGCATGCTCTCTCTTTCTCTCACATTTATATACATTTATATTTACCATTTTTGAAACCAACAGGTACAGATAAACCTGAAGCTAATTCACGATGTACTTGTGATTCAGTAGTTCTTGCACCAATAGCACCCCAAGCAACCAAATCTGCAATGTATTGTGGTGTGATTGTATCAAGAAATTCACACCCACATGGAACTCCCAATTGATTCTATTTAAATTTTAAGTTGTTTTAAAATAAATAAAAAATGAAAATAAAATAAGTAATGATTTTCTCAAAAGAGTTGTGTCTACTTACTATATCTAATAATAAATTACGTGCAACTCGTAAACCTTGATTTATTTGAAAACTAAGAAATTTGTATTAATATTACACTTATATACATCACATATAAATGTGACCTACAATTATTATAATAGCCACCTATTGTTTAATTTAGGATCATTTATCAGCCCTTTCCACCCCACTGTAGTTCTTGGTTTTTCGAAATAAACTCGCATTATGATGGCTAAGTCACTACTTGCACCAGCTGAATACTTACTTAATCTTTCAGCTAAATTTATGATGATTGTAATAAATAAGTAATAAATGCTTCTATACATATAATGCTACATAAACAAGTTTATTTTTGATATATTTTTGATATATTTTTACCATATTCGAGAGCAGCAGGAACACTATGAACTGAACAAGGACCAACTATTACAAGAAGTCGGTCATCTTGACCTTTTATAATGCTTTCAGCACCAGAACGACCAAGTATAACACTTTGCGCTGCTTGGAAGGTAAGTGGAAAGTCTTCCATTAAAATTTGAGGCTGAATTAATGGCTTTACTTGTTTGATCCGTTTATCATCAAGTTCATTTAGTGCTGGTAGATTCAAGAAGGAATTATTATTTAAGATGATGTTAATATTATTATAATAATAATGTAAAACTGATAATTTTCGGATAAATACCGTCACGAATGCGAATGTCTGACATTTTATTTATTTAAGAGAAAATTTATTTTAAGGAATGAATGGTGGCGAAAAAGATTATCGTGATAAACGGAAAAGATCGACATATTAAATATTAAATTTTTCAACAACAAAATTAATTATCTTATTGCCAACGTATTTTCCAATTATCATGATTACAAATAAGACTTCATTATTTGACAATTACCAAAGCAGAGAAATATTTGAGTTAAGTAGAAGTTTAAAGGAGGCTGGTGAAAATGTGACAATAAATCAAAAAGGATTAATCCAGTCTTCAAAACGTGTAATTATAAAGAAAATATTGGAAGCAATGGCTAATGGTATTGACGTATCATCGTTATTTGGTGAAGTTGTGAAGGTCAGCAATTAAAAACTTGTACGCGTATTTAATTTAATTACTTTAATTGCTAATAATAAAATGTTTAAAGGTCGCATCAACAAAAGATTTGGTTTTAAAGAAATTATCATATATTTATATTTCAACACAAGCAGAGAAAAATAGTGATTTAGCGATTTTAGCAATAAATACTTTTCAAAAAGATCTTCAAGATGATAATTTTTTAGTCAGAGGATTAGCATTAAGAACATTATGTTCACTAAGGTATAATAACAATAGTAATTGTTGCATTATATCTGTTCTAATTATAATCTAGTTAACATTTATATTTTACAATAGAATACTTGACTATTTACCTTATATGATGGATTCAATAACGTCATCATTGTCAGATATTAATCCATATGTTCGTAAAACAGCTGCAATGTCATGTATTAAACTGTTTCGTTTTTCACCAAAACATCTATTAGGTAAAGGATAAATTATACTGTAATATTTATAACATAACATAGCATATTATAAAATAGTTTATAATTATTGAATATTAACATTTTTTAGATACACAATTGCTGAAAGATTTTATAAAGATTTCAAATGTAATGTTGTATTACTTTCTTATAGAGGGTGAGTTGATGTTATTCATAATATATTATTATAAAACAGTATTGATTATTTTTATGCATAATTAATTAATACAGATATGGCAGAAGCGAAGGATCGCCATCAGAGAAAGGAATTTGTTTAGATGCCCAGGTTATTGTTGCCATTACTATTAATAATGTTAATAAGCAATCAAAGGAAAGGTCATTTAAACCATTTTTTTATTGAATTATTTATTTTTCTTCCTCATTTTTTAGAAAATTTTAGATTATATAAAAGAAGATGAAATATTAAAAAATACTAAATTAATAATATACGGACAATCACTTGGTGGATCAGTAGCAATTGATTTAATTTCAAGAAATGGAGAAAAAAAGATTGATGCATTGATTTTAGAAAATACATATCTTAGTATAGTAAGTTAATCTTTATGTATAATGATGTAACAAATAACAAGTATTATTATATTATTGATTAACTCATTAATTACGCGTTTATTTTGTAGCCCAAATTACTGCCAGAAATATTTCCAACGTTTAAATGTTTATCCTTTTTATGTACAGAAACATGGAGATCCGATGAAAAAATTTTAACAATCCAAAAAAATTTTCCAATGTTGTTTTTATCTGGTAATAAAGACCAAATAGTTCCATCCTATCATATGAAAGAATTATTTGAATTGGCGAGAACAACAACAAATAATGTTCCTTCTATTACTTCCGCTAATGCTAATAATGATGACAATAAAATTTTTAAAGAATTTGAAAATGGTGATCATAATGATACATTTAGTCAACCAGGATATTTTGAAGTTATTAAAGAATTTTTGCATAACAAGTGCTTTGTTATCATTGATAAACAAGTAACCAAATAATTTATAGTTATTATTATTTTATTAATTAAATTATTAAATTATTATTATTAAACATATCATTACAAATCTTGATAATTTTTTCTTTAAATAATTTCAAACATAAATTTAATCTGTCATAATCATTTTTAGTATTGGTAGGAAGAGTAGCAGGTTGTGGTGTAGTGTTGGCTATAGTTGTTGAATCATTACCAATCTTTAATAAACAATTGATCATTTGATCATTTAATAATATCTTTAATTCTCCCAATAAGATTGTTTTTGAAAATTTCTATTTTTTTTTTTGGAGGGAAAAAATCGGTCAATCATTTATTTTTTAAATATATATATACTTATACACATATTACCTCAATTCCGTAAAAAAACAATTTCCAAATATCGCCATTATTTCCACTAACACCAGAAGCAATTATAACAAATAAATTATCTTCAAGAATTGATTCAACATCTTGAATCGTTGAGTTTTGTAAAATTTGTTGATTTACAATTGGTATAGAAAATTCATTACTATATTTTTTTTAAAAAAACGAATAAATAAGGAAATTTAATTAATATTATAATATTTTTATTACATGATCATTTGAATGTACGACTTACTTTAATTTGAAATTTTCCCAGTTTAATTTAAATTTCTTTGGTTCAATTATTATTGTATTTATTAATTCCATATTGAAATTTTGATTTTCACTGTTTACTTCTTCCTTTTCGTTTTTATCATAAGATAATAACTAAAAAATATAATTATAATTATAATTAGAAAAAATAAATAAAAAACAAATAATACCATTTATAAATATTATAAATAAAGATTGTGAATAAATATCGTGGCGATTGATTAGTACATTAATATCATATTCAAATACATTTATAAATTGCTTATTATTATCATTATTGTTATTGTCATCATCATTGTATTGAATTATCGTTTCTTTTTGTTCTAGTGAATTTGTATTAATGAATTGACTTGAAGGTTTTCCATACAGTACAGATAAAGAATTAAATTCTTCAATCAAATTAATCTGGTAATTTTTTTAGATGGTTTAATAATGGTATAATATGTATTAAGTTAAAATAAATATGATTCTTACATTTTTTAATCTATTAGTATTTTTAATTGATTTGATATCGTTTTGAACAAATATTTTCTTTGCCTAATAAAATAAAATAAATATATTTTATTTATTTATTTATGATTTATGAATAATTTTAAACTTACCAATTCAATATTAAATTTTAATAATTTATAAATAAATAAATATCTTTCTTTAACTTCTCTATCACCATTGTCATCATCATCATCATGACTATTAACACCATCTCTACAGTTATCATTATTATTGCCATCATTTTCTTCTTCATTATTATTAAAAATTATTTTATACAATTTAATTAAATTATTTTTGCATTCATTTGGTCTAACTAAAAATAGTTTTACATTGAAATCAATTAATTTTAATTTTAATTCTTTATTTAATCCATTAATATTGTTGATATTGTTATTACTATTA